GTGGTGGCGAGTAACGGGCGAGCGTGTCCGGCGTCCTCTTCCCGCTGGCGTGCCCGTCCCTGCGGCATATCGCACCTGATTTACTTGTCAGTGCAGTCATAGAGTCATAGAATCGTTTTGCTTGGAAAAGACCCTTAAGATCATCAAGTGCAACTGTTAACCTAACACTGCCAAGTTCACCACTAAAGCACGTCCCCTGAGCTTTAGGCCCCTAGTGTGGCAGTGGTGGACCAGTGCGCGGTTGAAGACAGCAGGGTGCCCAGGTGGGCCTTAGGGAGCAGTAAGCTGGAGGAGACTCGTCTGCGGTCTTGAAATTGTTGTTGCCATAGAAGGTGAAAAGAAAGGCTGCTTCCCTTGCCCCAGCGTCCCCCACACTTGGCATCTACTGTTCAAAAAACCCCTAAGTCCATCAAGGGGGCTCACTTGGAATAGTCTTGGGGCATTGGTGCTGCTGACTTCTGCTGGGGGGTGATAAGGGGGTGACTATCACAGCTGCTGGGGTCTGGGAGAGGTTGAAAATGTGAGCATCCCATTTCCATCAAAGTTTCAATCCTTACTGTCTTTCCAAAGGAAACATGGTAGGGAATGTATTTTCTTGTAACTTCCAAGCTATGCACATGAATGTCAAATGCTCTCCTTCCAGAGCAGAATCTAGGCTGGAATCCAGACAACGTGAGTGCATGCAAAGCTTGTGCAGGAACTAAAATAAGCCTCACTTCTCCCATATCAGATGGGATGCTGTTGCATCTGCCCGAATTACTAAAAGGTGACCATGCCCACTCATCCAATGGACCTGCATTCTAAGTGTTTCTAAGTGTTTTCTAAGGCTCAGTGCTGTTTGCATAATATTGATGCTGCCCATATGGGGAGTAGTCACTATTTTGATAGAAAATCCTGTTAGGAAAATAAATGTTTCAAAAGAAGAAAGCACCAGAAGCATGGCTGGGGTAGTGAATATTGCAGTGTGGCCACTTGATGGCACCACAGTCTTAAGAACTGAAGAGAAGTGTGTGCACAAGTGCTGTAACCTAAACACACTAAAAACTGGTTTGTATGCTTATTTATTTTAAAAACACTTAATATTATTCTTCTAGGATCACAGTGAATTGGGTGAGATTGTGCTCTTCCCATCTGTAAAAATAAATGAGAAAAAATGTAATGACAACTGAAATAGCATATTTTTTATTAGTGACAAGCAGTTAAGAACACTGGAGTTATCCTGATGGTTCTGTGTTATTTGATGATGCAGGTTCTTAGTCCACTTGTAAAACCCTGAATTTGTCCCGCCTGCTCTTTCAGCATCATGCCAACCTGTTACAAAGAGGAATTTGTCTTCCTTTTCCATTCTTCTGGGCTATTCTAAATAAAAAGAAAAAAGGGGAGGCCGGAGGGGGAAAGGATCAAGAAGACTTCACACAAAATTTAACCAACTTTAATGGATTGTATAATACAAAATATTATTACAATCTCTTTGCAGACTGCTTAATTGAATGTACCAGCAGTGCTACCAAATACTGTGTGTTCTATTATGTCCTCGAATGTGGATCACAGTTCACTACAGTAACTGAAATCTGGCTTGTTCTGATTCACTAAAGTGTGGTCCCTTCTCAGTCAAGTGATAGAAACTCTTGCTAAGCTGCTGATCCACTGGGCCACCAGTCTCTTAAGTTCCAGCTCTTCCCTTTGGAAGTTGCTTGTTGCTCGGAAAGATCCGTGCTATCGAAGAGAACACTGCAAAGGATCGGGGCTGCTTTTTGACATGCCTCTCAGAAAAGCTTGTCAGTGTGCTTGTGGATGTTTGGTTGTTGTACTTTGCTCCTGCAGGGCTGGTCAAGATAAATACCCTGCCTGACATCAAAGCCCTCTACAGAAAGTAACTTCTTAAAAGCAATGTGTCTTAGGGTTCAAATGAAAGTTCTTGTCAAGATCAAAATAAAATATAAAAATATTTTCATAAAGATATTCTAGAAGAAAAAAAAGCCAGCCTATCTAGAAGTTACTGCATGTAGTTTCCTATCTCTTTAAATGCATATATTTGACATTGATGAAATTACCCAATTTCTGCTTATACTGATATAGGTAGTTACCTGTTTTAAAAGCATATACAAAGTCTAGAAAGTAACTGATGCACAGGGTCTTAAAAAAGAATATGCAGCTAAAAACCTTGTAAACTAGAAGCTGTAGTATTCTTTTGTTTTACTTCCAATGTGGATGTAGTCCAAAAGTGCTGCCTAATATGACAAAACTGAATAACTTAAACCAAGTGGTCTGATAAGCAAAGATTTCCCTATTTCACTTCCTGCTTTCACAAGCAATGTAAAATCTCTTTGGGGCTGTTTGAAACATTTGCTTCTTTGAAAATATTATTTAAAAGGCGGTCTAGAGAAGTTGGGAAACAGAAATTACCCTACTGGATATGAACAGCAATCAAAATATTCACTTTGAATTTCCTGTCTCCAGAGTTGTCCAAAACCATATGTCTTGGGTGAAATGTAAGAAATACTAGAAAGGACAGCTTGGCCTAAATCAATTAATAGTGTGATTATGGTATGATCTTAAGCACCTGAGTATCCCTATATTTCACGTTTTCTATATGTTTAAGTGCTTTGCAGGATCTGAGCTTTAGTGGGAAGCCCAATCATATTTGACCATCAGTCTTACTAATTATGGAAGCTTTTGCTCTCTGTAAAACTCCTAAATGGCAGAAAAAAACATTGTCATAGCCCCCAAGTGATGCCTGTTTCTAAAACAAAAAAGAGATGTTCTATGCCCTTGACTGTGTAGAACAGTGAATATTTTTACTTATTCATATGTTTTGATAACTTAAATGTCTATAGCATACGTTTATATCTAAAAACATCTAGGTCAACTCTGTTCAGTACTCATTTTCACACCTCTAATGCTGTTGTGGTTTTGCAGCCATTATGACTGCGTGAATTTCATATTCGAAAGTTTTTCTCCTATGTAAGTTAGAAAAATGTCACTAGCACTAAAAAGCTAAAAACCTGTGGACTTGTCCACATTTGATCTAACCTGGTTAAAGCTCTATGTGCAATACTTTATTTTTAAAACATTGTAAACACATTGATTTTCTGATCAGTGATAGGTCATTATATTAGCTTTTTAGTATGAGTAGCATATAAAACAGCAGTTGATTAAACGAGAGCCTTCTGAAATATCAAACTCTCAAGTCACTTAGATATCAACACCTAGTAGTTAAAACTATTGTGAGAAAGAACCAAGAGGCTGGTACTCAACCATATGCAAAGGAAAATATACAAATATCAGAGTCTCTTCTAAATGTGTACAATTTTCCCATACCACTTGTAAAGGTTCTGTATCACAGACCTCAGTAATTTAGCATTATTTACAGAGATATACAATCAGGCTAGTAAAAGATGTTACTGATACTGAGTTTAAATGAGTGAGATATCTTGTGTAAGGTACAGTTAAGAGATGTTTCCAAAGAACCAGTGTCAATTTCTAATCTCTAGTTCACTTCAAAACCAAGCCAGTTTATGAGCCTGCTAGCTTAGGCCATCAGCCTTTGTGTGGTTTGGGGCCCTATAGTACAAAATTGTGCTGTTACGTTCACAAAAAAAGAGAACACTTTTTTCCCTTACAGAATCCCACATTAGCATATGTAAGTAGCTAATTTGATACATCCTTTTCATTTATGTACAAATATTCAAATGAGCAAATACAAGCTCTGGCAAATATGTATTCTGTGATCTTTTGCAGCTGCCTTAGAGCCAATATCCAGGACAGATTCTGCAGGCTCTCATCGCAGACTTGATTTCACAAAAGGCAATTCCACTTTTTCTCTAGACATGACTTACAATGCAGCAGAAACTTCTTGTTCTCCAGTAGATTGTGTGTAGGTGGAGCTAGCCCGTTCAGCTGTGTCAACATAGAAAACAGGGCAGTATTTCGAGAAGTGGAATGCAATCTGCTTTCGGAAAAAGCTGTGAAGATACTTCCTAAATTTTTCTCCAGCGAAGGCATAAATTATAGGGTTGATACAACAGTGGATCATTGAGATGGTTTCTGTCACTTGGGTTGCTTTGTGCAGTTGACCGCTGCCTTCACAAGTAGTGATGGAAAACGTACCTTGAAAATCACGCAAGAGAATGCAAATGTTGTATGGTGCCCAGAAAAAAAAGTAGACAATCATGATGATAAAAATAAGCCTGACTGCTTTATGTTTCTTCTCATTCCTACATTGTAGTAGTGTCTTTATAATTTGTGTGTAGCTGCAGATCATAATTAACATTGGAATAACAAGTCCCAGGATGTTCATTTTTAAGGTCAGGAATTGCTTCCATACATTTCTTTGCTCTGATGGATAATGAGCACTGCAAGTATAACGTGCATTTTCCTTTTGAGTTTTGTGAAATACTATCCCAGGAACAGAAGCAAAAATAGCAACAGCCCAAGTGACAGCGCTGGTGAGGATGCCGTAGGTAACTGTCCTAGCTTTTAACGCAAACACTGCGTGCACTATGGCCAGATACCTGTCTAGGGTCAAGAGGATTATGAAAAAGATCCCGCTGTAGAAGCCAAGGAGGTAGACACCTGAGAGAATTCTGCACAGTGCCTCCCCAAAAATCCAGTCGTGAACAGCGTAATAAGCCCAAAAAGGGAGAGAAAATATAAACAGCAAATCAGAAATTGCCAAATTGAGCAGGTAGATGTCAGTCATACTCTTCAATCTCTTGTATTTTACCAGGATAAGGATAACGAGCATGTTGCCTATGAGGCCAAATATCACCACCAAAGAATAAAGCGGTGGCAAAAGTTTTGCTGCAAAGTGCTTTTCCTCAGTTCCCGTGCATGGTGTTGAATCGCTGTAGTCGAATTCTGTTGTCAGC